CATGGAGACCACCAGCCAACCTGAAACCAGCAAGCTCACAGAGGTGACCCCATCAACTCTTTCCTCCTCCACAACTGGACCCATGTTGACTCAGACAGTTTCTTGGGGCACTTCACATCCAGGTGAAACCACCACCTTCTTCCCTTCCAGTGTCAGCAACATTATGTCCCCAGCCACATCAGAAGTGGTCATTCCAACAACCTCCACAGACTCCTATCTAGGGAATACACTGCACACATCCCCAACGGTTACTCAAAGGTTTACACCTGTTACCACTGGAGTCTCCATGACAATGTTACCAAATGATCTGTCAGCAATGCCAACATTCAGCACCTCTACTCAGGAATCATCAGCATTTCCCCAGAACCAACACACCACAAGCCTGGAGACCACCAGCCAACATGAAACCAGCACACTCACAGCGGTAACCACGTCAACTCTTTCCTCTACCACAACTGGACCCACTCTGACACATACAGTTTCTCAACGGACTTCATCTCCCGATGGAACAACCACCCCACCTGATTCCAGTGTCAGCAGCACACCCCCACCCACATTAGAGGTGCTCATTTCAACACCCTCCACAGACTCCACTCAGGGTAACACAGGGAACACAATTTCCATGATTACTGAAAGATCCACACTATTCACTACAGGAGTCCCAATGACAGCTTCACCAGATGAACTCTCAAAGGTGACAACACCCAGCACCAGCACGTATACTCAAGAATCACCATCATTTTCTCAGAATCAACACACCACAAACATGGAGACCACCAGCCAACCTGAAACCAGCAAGCTCACAGAAGTGACCACATCCATTCTTTCCTCTTCTACAACTGGACCCATGTTGACTCAGACAGTTTCTCAGGGCACTTCACATCCAGGTGAAACCACCACCTTCTTCCCTTCCAGTGTCAGCAACATTATGTCCCCAGCCACATCAGAAGTGGTCATTCCAACAACCTCCACAGACTCCTATCTAGGGATTACACTGCACACATCTCCAATGGTTACTCAAAGGTCTACACCAGTTACTGCTGGCGAATTCATGACAACTTCACCAAATGATCTGTCAGCAGTGTCAACACTCAGCACCTCTGCTCAGGAATCATTACTGTTTCCCCAGAACGCACACACCAGAAGCATGGAGACCACCAGCCAAAGTGAATCCAGGACGCTCACAGAGGTCACCATGTCAAGTATTTCATCCTCCTCAGATAGACCCACTTTGGCTCAAACAGTTTCTCAGGAGACATCCTCTCCAGGTGAAATCACTACCTCAACACCTTCTGTCAGCAGTACACTCACAACCACTTCCGAAGTGCACCTAACTTCTCTCTCCACAGACTCATCTCCAGGGGACTTTGGGCACACATCACCACTGGTGACTCAAAGTTTAACTCCCATTACCTCAACAGTTTCAATGACAACTGTACCTAGACAATCAACAGTACTCTTAGCTAGTACCTCTACTCAGCAATCAATAACGTTTTCTCAGAGTCAACGTACAGCAAACACGGAGATTAGCAGCAATGCTCAAACCAGCATGCTTACAGAGGTGACCACAGCAAGTCATTCATCTGCCCCCATCGGACCCACTCTGACTAAGACCTTTTCTCACGGGACGTCCTCTCCAGGTGAAACAGCTACCTAACATTACAGGCAAGGGCTGAGGTGAGGTTCACCAGAGTACAAGGTGTGTGGTGCAATGGGTGACTAGCTCTCCATGTCTTCTGCCCTGGCTGAAGATTGCTTATATATGGAGATGTTTGTGCTGATCAGTATATAGACAAGAAAAAATATTAGCTGCTTCTCTTAGCTCCTGATTTTCTGAGTCTCTATGACTCTCATATTCTCTGAACGTAGAACCCAAGCCTTTCTTCTCTCCCTGTATGTCCAGGAATGATCACAAGCTCTCTGAAGACAGACAGCTGGAGAAACACTACATCACTCTCTACAACCTCCTTAACCCTTACCTCCTCCAGCACTCCCAGAGGTTCCAGCTCAACAGCTTCCCCACTCCCTATCTTACCAGGGCAAGGTAAGTGATACCAATGAGGTAGAATTTCTCTATCTTGTAACAGAGCTAGATATAGAAATTGTAGTTGTGGTTGCTAGACTGGATTTGTCAGTTTAGATCCTTGTATGTAGCTGACGGATTCAGTCCTATAGCTGAATGTCTAGGGTACTAGGTGTACATGCTGGAAATCTTGTAATGGATGTGGGAACAGGGAGAGCACCCCAGATAGGGAGGATGATCAAAGCAGCTGGAATAAAGCCACAGAAGTGAAAAAAGTAGTCCGTGAATACAGCAGCATAGGGTAGGGATCCCCAAACATGTGACATTGCTGGGAGTAAGGTGAAGAGTGGTGAGAAGGAGGCGGGGTGTACAGTCTTGTGGAGAGGGAGAGCCAGGGAAAACACAGATTTGTACCATGGTGGCTAGTATGGATAGATCTGGTCAGTGACGAGGCCAAGAGCTGTATAGAGACATATGCTGAGCCAAGCAAGACCAGGCCCAGGCCCTAATGAGTCAGTGCTACCATATGGAGTGAGACCTATTTGGAAAATACTTAGGGTGAGGTTTCCTAAACTGGAATTTAAGGACATAGGGTGGCCTAGGACAAATTCTAGGGGATCCTCAAATTTATCTGGAGAAATACCGTTTTAGGAAACAAGTCCCATTGCAAGTATGAATCTTCACTGTATTCAAATTTTGTCTTTAAAACCATAAAATAATTATGATTAAGGAAATAGATACAGAATAGCTTGTTGATATTCTAACAGCAGTGTTTACTTTTCTCCAGCCCTGGGAATGAGGGTACCATCGAAGAAGTAAATTGATGTGTTAAATATGTGGAGAGACAGAAGAATTGTAATGGCTCGTAGTCAGGGCCCACTAGGGCCCCTTCATGAAGAGGGGACAGGGTGAGACACAGCTTAGAGGAAGCTCTCTCAGGATCCTTCTGTAGTTGAAAGAAGGGAGAGGCCCACAGGACTTTGTTTTCTTCTCTGTCCTGGCCCAGGCATTCCCCTGTTCCCGTACGGGTCAAGTCCTGCAGTTCGAGACCTGCAGTTATTTGCCAGGGCTGTGGATTTTACCTCACCACTCTTCAAGATCCAGATTGGTTTCCCCCTCGGCTCTTCTCTGCGGGATTCCTTCTACGTGAGTTTCTGACTGAAGCCCAAGTGTCAGGTCTGTGGCCTGTGTTCTCTGGGCCCCGCTTCTCTGTCCAGCTTGGAGACGGCCCATGACTGGGCAGAAGGGAGAGTGGAAGTCATCTTTGGTGGGTAGTATCTTTACTGCCTTCTTTTATGTCAGAGGTCTAGCTGTGGAAAACAGAATGAGGCTCCTTCCCTGATGGGACAAGAATATCCTTATCCTAGTAAAAAGAGATTGCTGCTATTTTCACGGAGCCTTTTTATGAAGCACAAGCTATACTTGGGAAACTTGACTAGTTCACATTGTTTCCATTTCCTGTGATTACTTTCAATTCTTTGGTCCATGTCTCCCAGAGTAAACTTGGAATGTGATCCTGGCTCCTGTGACCAGGAAGGGGACTTAGGACACATGATGAGAAAGCAACACAGTAATGGGAGTGAGAGCATTGATTCCTTTGCCCCATCTAATATGTCACAGGCTTCAAGACAGGGTGAGGGGCTTCACCAAGAAGGCTTCACTCTGTGAAAGGCTGGGTTACCAGCAGAGTTCTGCCACTGGGGCAGGACACAGGTCACTATTTTGGACTGACATGAAGAATGTCCTGATAGTGAAGAATATTTTTAAGGTTACTAGGTCAAGGCCTCTCCTAGAAGGCAAGAAATGGACAAGGTGATCATCAAGGTTGACACCTCTAAGCTCCTGCCCATATGGGCTTTTAGGGGACCAGCTTCTGAGGAGATGGAGAGATAATCCTTCCTTCATCTGTCCCTGAATATTAACCAAGAACCCTGTGCTCAGTTCACAGATAATGGCCAGATCATTTTCCCAGAGTCAGACTACCATATTTTCTCCTACCCCAACCCACCTCTGAGAGGATTCACAGGATGGGATCGTGTGGCCATGGTGGCTCCATTCTGGGATGATGCTGATTTCTCAAGCTACAGAGGAACCATATTTTACCAGGTGAGTCTTTCAAAGCCTGACAGTAGGGCGCTCCCAGCATCCTGGCAGGAGAGACCAAGAGCAGCTCTTGTAGGGCATTGTATCCCAACCTAGGCTTGTGTGGGCAGGGATTGAGGTTTAAATACAGGGTAGGGAGAAATCCAATAAAGAATGCACCAAGCATGGTGGCGCACATCTTTAATCCCAGCACTTGGGAGGCACAGGCAGGCAGATTTCTCTGAGATTGAGACCAACCTGGTCTACATAGGGAGTTCCAGGCCAGTTGGAGTTATAGGAGACCCTGTCTCAAAGCAAAACAAAACAAAACCCAAATAAAAACAAAAACAAAGAATATTGAATAGACTCAGGAATACTCTATCCCAACCATGAGAAGACCTGAGAGTGATGGAGATGGAGTTTACAATTTAACATTTGATTTTAAAATAAAGGTGTAGAGGGTCTGTCTTAACAAGTTTCAGTCAAAGAGTGCTCCCACATGCATCAGGATTAGATTAAAAATACTAACCAGTGAAACCATGCAATAAAAGCTGTCACAGCAAATGTGTTTTGTGCCCCTGCCATTGACAAGGCCCTACAGAGGCTCCAAAGATGGAGAGATACGAACCCGCTCTTAAGGAGCTACAAGCAAGACATGGGAATGTGAAAATGGACTCACGTGGTCATACTGTCTAAGCCAGTTTGAGCTAAGAGATGTATCAGTTCAAATCCAGAAACCTTGGATTTCTGAGCTGGGACTCTCTAGTTCACATGCCCCAGATTTTCCTGCAGCCCAAATTTAAATTGATCTTAAGGTCAAAAGGGCTCATTGTAAAAATTCAGGCCTGAGATAAAGAACTACAGGCAGCATGTGGGCACTGAAGTGAGCAGGATCCCCAAGCAGAAAGCAAGGATCCCTCAGGGGTGTTGAGAGGGACTCTCATTTCCTTGATCTCATGGACTTTCCTTTTCTAGGAATATGAGACACTCTATGGTGAAAGCAGCCCATTAATCCGGGAGGTAGAGACTTTGATTAACAAGTTCACAGATGACTGGAGCTACAAAGCCAAGTGGACCCTGAAGGTCACATGGGTCAATGTCCCTGCTTATCCTGCCCAGTGGAACTTCGGGGTGAGTAGACAGTGAATGGACAGCTCCCTATGCGTCAGCAGAGAGTCAGATATCCTATAACCCTAGATAGGAGCTACCCTTCTGGGATACTCTCTGAATGGAGGAAAGGTGACTAATTATATCAATTCCCTGGGAGCATGGTCTGCTGAGTACTTGCAGTGGGCCAGACCTGCCTCAAGTCAAAAACATAAGAACAGTATTTACAGGCAAGAATGTCTGGCTGGCTATTGGCAGTTTCAGATGGCTTATATGAGTCAGCTTTTTTTTTTCTTTATTTTCTTTTCCTCCTCTTCCTCCTCCTCCTCTTATTCTTATTCTTATTCTTCCTTTGTCTTTTTGAGACAGGGTCTCCCTGTTCTCCCAGCTGGCCTGGCCTGGAACTCACTACGTAGACCAGGCCGGCCTTGAACTCACAGAGAACCTGCCTCTGTCTCCCAAATGCTGGGATTAAAGGCATATGCCACCACACCTGGCTGAATCAACTTTTCTTTGTTGTAGTTAAATATCAGGTACAGGCCACTTGTGAAGAAAAAAGACTTACTTGGCTCACAGTTAGGGGGCGCTGACAGTCCAAACAGCATAGCGTAGGCTTCTCAGGGGCTGCCTTTGGTTGCATCCCCTCATAACACAGAAATCAATGGTTGGCATATGTGCAAGAATAGGCAAATTACTGCATCTCAAACCGAAGATAGAGGCTGGCTGGCACCAGGCTGCTCCTTTTATAATAGTACTCTGGAGAGAATGCAAGGGGCCTCACAAGAATGACCTGTGACCTAGGAGCCCAAGGCATCTCAGTAGGCCATTTTCAAAAGTCCTGTCACTTTTCTTTTTTTAAAAAAAATTGAATTCATTATACTTTGATCATATTTAGACCCCTGTCCCCATCTGTACCCCCTCTCAGTACCTGCCGCCTGATTTCATGTACTTACGTTGTGTATATATATTAAGTCCTATCAAGTCAATCTTGTGCCTCCAAGTGCCTTTCAGTGTGGGTCCATTCATTGCAGCCTTGTCAACCTACCCAGCATCACACCCTTAAAAAAAAACACGACTGTCCCTCTCTCAGCAGCCACTAGTTGTCAATAGTTCATTGGCTAGGCTGGAACTTTCTACCCACCTCCCCACTTCCATGTGCTCCATTTTCAATAGCACCAGCCTGAGGACCAAGCCTCTAAAACCTTTGAATGGAGGAGACACGCACTCAAGTCCTAATCAAACATAACACAGCTTAACTTCATATTATCATCCACACTTTCAAAATGAGAAGATAATGCTTAGATAGGTTAACCATTTTTCTCAAAGTCACCCCATCTAGTAAATGACAACACCAGACCTGGACCAGAGAGTTTTCCAAGTACTGGTTCTTAGACCCAGTGTCATCCAGTGGAAATGGCACCACATAATCTCCAAAGCCCACATTTTTCCCTCTGAGGACTCACAGCTCCTATGGTCTCAATGTTCCTCATGTCTGATCTAAAGTCACTTGTGTGTATGGCCATGAACATGCCTGATTTTGTCCAAAGTCACTTGTTTCTTCACTCAACAAAATGCTCACTGACTACCTACTTGGGACAGAGCATGTGTAGGTCACACACGCCATGTAAGTGAAAGGGATACTTGGACAATGTCCGTACAGATCCCATGGAGCTAAGGAGGCCTCTCTCAGCTCTGTCTTGCCTAATCTCTTGGGTAACTATCTCTTCAAACCCTCTTCTAAATGTAACGTAACCTAGGACCCTTTGTTTCCTCTCCCTGGAAAAGTTGCAAAGAAGGCAAATTCAACATGGTAAGTGCTTTGACACCCAAGGTTAAATGTCCTAGCCATTGCCAGCATTTCAAGCCCGGATAGACTAGGAACAGGTGAGGTATATGTCTGGGCTAGAGTGTGGGTCAGGTGTGGGGACACCAGGAAGGAAACAGCAGATCTCTCATAGACATCTGTTTTTCTCTCACCAACCCCAGACCAATACCTACCAAGCCATCCTCTCCACAGACGGCAGCAAGTCCTATGCCCTGTTTCTCTACCAGAGTGGTGGGATGAGGTGGGATGTGACCCAGAGTCCACGCAACTCAGTCCTCATGGGCTTTTCCAGGTAGGACAGGATCATCCAGCCATCAGCGCTGAATTGTAAGAGATAAAGGTTGCAGAGCACAATTTACTACACACATACTCCTGTTCCTGGGATGAAGTGTGACTCCTCAATAATGTAACTGTTCCAGTGAATCAGCCATCTTGCTGTTTCCATTGAAAGATCTCTCATTTGTATTGTCCATCCATCTTTCCTACCCCAGCACCTGTGAATTGGGATCACTTCAAGTTTGACCACCTTGGTTTCCACTGACATTAGTTGACTTCTCAAATTCCATAATAACAGCCAACATTTATTACACTTAGTATTTCATATACATTATTTTGTTGGTGATCACAGTCACCCATGTGGTAAATACTATTGATGATCACTATCCTATAGATGAGGAATTGAGATATAAATAGATGAGCACTTTGCTGGAAATCATGATTTAAAAGTGGCAATGCAGACATCTGCGATTGGAATCTGCCTTCCTGATTCCCAGTACCCTGCAGCTTAGATGGACAGGGAAAGGGGGAGAAGGGTTGTAGCTGATTACAGTGTGGGCTCCTGTGCATGAAGGTGCCACAGTCTCCGAGACAACAGCTCCCAGCCACGGTGAAGCAATCGGTTGTGAAGGTCATGCATCATTTGTTACTGGGAATTGCCTCAAATGGCTTTCTCTTACATTAGGGTGTGTTCAGGCTGCCCTATAATTACAGGATTTTGACTTGCTTTTTAATGTGTAGTGAGGCGAATACGTGTAGCTAAGAATTTTACACTATCCTCCATGTACTCAACAGAGGCGTCATACATGCATGTGTCCTCTAGCCCATGTGACAGAGGAGCAAAGAGTAGGAATCATGTGTGAGCAATGCACCAGCAGTGAGTCTGGGGCTGCTACTACAGACGTTTTCTCTGTCCTGGACCCACACTGTGATGGAGATGGCAGTACCTCCAATCTGGTCTCCACTCAGATCGGAAGGATTTGCATCAAATCCTCACAAAGCTGTGAGGTAGATACTACTGAAATCTCTTTTGCCCAGATAGTAAAACTCCAAAATCAGGGATGTCAAATAACCATTATCACCAAGCTATTAAGTGCTGGACTCATCACTTGAAAGTGACTGCCTGACTCCAGAAACAGGCTCTGAACTATCCTTACTGTATGTCCTCTCTATCCCTAATACAAGGGAAACAAATGGGAAGGAAGCCTGAGCTCTGTTGTGTTCACACCTCTGTCTCATGACTAAGTGGGACTATAAGTTTCTTGCCACCACTGATCAAATGGTTAGCTGGAGTGAGTGCTGGTTGACTGACAAGCTAAATTAATACCTTTTTTCTTTCTTTTTGGTCTTTTTGAGACAGGGTCTCCCTATAGCCTCAGCCGGCCTCCAGGCTGGCCTTAAACTCACAGAGATCCGCCTGCCTCTGGCTCCCAAGTGCTGGGATTAAAGCCATGCACCACCACGCCTGGCTTAAATGAGTCACTTTTAACTGAGAGTAAAGAGCCCATGTGTGACACAGACCTAAAAGTCTTTCCTTTGCCTGCAGTGGAGATGGGTATTTTGAAAACAGCCCGCTGACATATCGGCCAGCGATGGAGAAGTACCATCCAGATCAATTCCTGAACTCCAAATTAGGTAAAAGTGCCACCTGTCATGTGTGAGCTGGCCTCAGTCTTTTCTTGCTTTCTGCCCCCTGTGCCATGATAGTCTTAGACAGTTCTAACCATTCTACTACCCTAAAGAGCATTCTGCACAGGCTGACTGCCTACAGGTACACTTTGTACCTAGCACTACCCAGGAAACAACTCGTCCCTTCCACATGCTCAGACCCTGTAAAATCTCCTTCCTTAGAGGAGCCAAGTGTAAGATGTCTGTCAGCCAGCACCCAAATCCTGGTGTGAGGACATGGGAGGTGGGAAAGTACATGGTGGGTAGTTAGATCAATCACCCAAGTGTCCTGTTCAGAACTGGAATGGTAGTCTACATGAGACCCCCTAAGGAGATCTACCCAGAGGAGTTCCAGAAGGCTGACATTTATTCAGTCAACATTTATTGAGTACCTACTAAATGCTAGTTAATAG